CCACAGTCTTCCAGTTTGCCCATCAGAATGTCATGGGAAACCTTATAAAAAGCTTTATTGAAATTCAGGTAAATCACATCAACAGAGTTCCCACGATCCAGTAAGCTCGTCACACAATCAAAGAAGGAAACCAGGTTGGTCTGACAAGGTCTGTTGGGGACAAAACCGTGCTGACTTCTCCAGATCACTAAGTGGTCCTTCAGATACTTACAGATTGATCCCTTTAAAATCTGCTCTAATATCTTCCAGGCAACAGAAGTCAGACTGACTGGCCTGTAGTTTCCCAGGTCACCCTTCTTCCCTTTCTTAAAGATTGGGATAACATTCACTCTCCTCCAATCTTCTGGCACATCCCCAGTCCTCCAGGAGGCCTTGAAGATGATGGACAGAGGCTCTGCAAGTTCGTTAGAAAGTTCTTTGAGCACTCTTGGGTGCACACCATCTGGCCCAGGGGATTTGTATTCATCCAGTGCAGCCAGGTGCCCCTCCACAAGCTCCCTGTCAATGTCAACTGAACACTCAGGTATCCTGTTATGTCCTATGGGCTCGAGTACTTCTGGGAGGCAAAAAAGTCATTAAGCCTGTCTGCTTTTTCTCTGTTTCTCCTTCTACTCCCAAAAGTGGTCCAATTGCCTCTTTTACCTTGTGTTTGCTTCTCACATATCTGTAGAAGTTTTTCTATTTGTAGCGAGCCCCTCTGGCCAGACCCAACTCATACAGAGCTTTGGTTTCTCTGATGGCTGATCTGCAGTACCTAGTAACTCTCATATACTCCTCTTTAGAGGTCTGACCTTCCCTTCATTTCCTTTTTCTCCCTTAGCTTATTAAATTTTTAAAGGATGGCATGATGCTTAAATTGGGTTTATGTTCACATCTAATTGTTGATAATATGGAAGAGAAAAGCATTTGTAATTGGTGCCAGCTGTTGAAAACCATTCTACGAAAGGAAGATTTATTACCACCACAACAGTATAAACCATTTGGACAGTTCCTAAGATACTCTGGTATCTGATAGAAAATGGTTATATAAATTGTATTCTTTACAAATAGCAAATGCTCAGAGAACATAGAACTATCATCAAGTTGAATAATATTTTTATTTTCCTTCTGCCCAGTGGACCAGGGGGATGCTTCCAACACAACTGATTTCCAACACAGAAAGCAGGGTTTGGGGTTAAAAAGAACCAACAAAACCAGGAAAGCAGCACATATTTTATTTCACTGCATGCATGCTGTAACACAACTCTTAAAAACAAGGAATATTAAAATTTATAGATAGGAATAAAATTATACAAAGTCTATGTGTTCTGTTACCATAAATTATTCCACTGCAAAGTTTGCCTTTTCTGGTCATAGATGGCTGGATGCTCCCAGTGCAGTGCAGAATTCTGGGCACTCCTGTCTATAGCTACACAAAGAACTACTGCAGCCCATGGGCCTGAGTGTTCAAAGAGTGACCATGCACAGTATACTCAGCAAGAACTTTAGAATACCAAATATTAACGTTTGCATGTGCATGCTTGCTGGGAGAATGCTGCACTTCAAATGTGAGAAATACTTAAATATAGCAATTATCATAATACCATACAAGAAAAAGGACAAGAAAACCAGGCATTCAAGCTGGAATAACGTTTTTAGTTACAGGCTGGCAGCTCTCCAAAACTTGCTGCTCTCCCCAGACCGGATGTCAGCTTTTAGCAGTCCTTAACCATCTGGCTCCTGTCTAGGATTTGCCTTGCCAGCTTATTAAGCCCCACAAAGTGCTCATATTGCCAAAAGCTTAATACCTCTCTTATTGATGTGTTTCTCTTCTCTGAATGTTGTATAGGTGATTCAAAAAAGAAATCATGAAATACTGCTTTGAACTAACTCAGCAGTCCTACCAACTCTTAAAACTGAGCAAACCATTATGAATGCAAACACACCAGTTGCCTACAGAGAAAGCCACTAATGCTAATGATCCTCAATAAGAGCGCTAACAAGTATGTCAGTTGGGGAGACATGCTGTAAACAATGCTCCCTCTAAACTCTGGAGTCCTGTGAGCGAAAATTCTACTTTGTGATCTACTGGCATTAAAGTTGTGAGCAAGCGGTTTGGCCACTGCATAAATTAGTTTGCTCTGGAGCCATCCTTCCTAAGTTAAGACAAAAATGTGTGAACCGATGGCTAAAAAACTATGAGCTAGCTCACACTAACTCGGCTTAGAGGGAACACTGGCTGTAAACTGAAGCCAACCAGGCCTGCAGTTTAGTTCAGCAGTCTCCATCCAGCACCTCCTCATAATGACAACAAGTGCCATCTATTCTATACAATATATGGTTAAAAGTGCCATCTATTCTATACAATATATGGTTAAAAGTGCCATCTATTCTATACAATATATGGTTAAAAAGCTGGGTAGAAATTCTACACAGAGATATTCAGGATCCCTCATAGAATGGGTGAACCTTAGCCACACGATAAGGCTGCCGAAGCCCTATAGGGCTCTTAGTATCCACCCTTTTGTCTATTCTGAGAAGCTACAGAAAATCAACATGTCTTGTTTGTTCTCTTTACTCAATGGGGACAAGACTGATCACCTGGAATTAAAAAAAAAAAAAAGAAGTAGCCCCATGAATTTTTATTTGCTTACCATCTGAAATTATTTAGCAGGGATTTTTCTGGTTTTCTAAAAGAAAAATGTTAAGACTGAAATATGACTTGTAAACCCGCTGGCACAGACGAAAAAGCTCGAGGTACTTTCCAGTGGCTTAGCGGCATTAAGCTGTCTCTGCCTGTATGCTCCCCAGTAATTCCCCTGCTGCTCCCTCTGTTGCAAGTGCTGCAATTAGAAGTATTAATCCTGCTGTCGGCTGGGGTGCCTCAGCAGATCGATGGTCATCAGGGCAGATGATTAGTTTCTGTCACCCTTGAAACAACTGTTATTTATTTGGCGATTTCATCGTTTCCCCATGATTTAAGATGACCGTTAGTATGGAAGCCAACAAACAGTGAGATCTCCCAGCTGTAGCCTAGATGACCAGATATGTCTTTCGGGGCCCAGAGTTTGGCATTCTTCCATTTGTGTTAATTCTCTCTGACTGACTTCTCCTATTTTTTTTCTCATAAGCAGCAAAAAAAAAACCAAACAAGAGAGCAAATACACACTGGCTGTGCCTTTGCTTCTGGGAAGCCTCTCTCTGCACCCCTCATCTAAACAAGCCACCTCAAAACAGAGCTCACGAGGAAGCAGAACATTACCAGCAAGCTGTGGAGGTTCTCCTCTGCCACGTGCTTCATTCTTATCAGTTTTTCCTGCTCCTTATGATAAGACTGGAATGCCTCTCTGAAGTTTTTCTAAGAGTGAAGATAACAATAATAAAGTAAGCCTTAATCATGTTTATTTTGTCTGGAACAGCCTCCACGTATCCATTTGACAGCTCAAATGGTAGAGTGGATAGATGGTAGCACCTCAAATCAGGGTTTGTATCCTCTCAGGCTCAAAACCAATGTCACTAAGGAGACCAGCTCTCTCTCTCTCTCTCTCTTTTAAAAAAGGCTGACAGCCATGCTGCAGAGGAGTGTCTAGTCCAATTTAGATCAGTATGTTTCCCCCATGTGGCAAATACCACATGAAGGAAATACCAGATCCCCTAGCAATCACAAATTTGCCAAGTGTTTTCAGATGATTAACCCTTTATCTAAAAAAAGATAATTTAATCATCAGCGGGTTTATTACTTATGCTAATCAGAAAAAAACCTCCTCAAATTAACAGCTGTTTATTGTGAAGTACTGAATAACTTTACTCATTGTACTTTTAATAACATCAGGTAAGAAGTCTGTAAATGAGAACAATACATTGGGAAATTCTTCTCTTTGGTTTTTATCCTGAGATAGCACTGACTGGCTACAATTTTTAAAATGAAATTTAAATAGAAATATGACAAAAGTAACAGCAATTATTGAACAGAAAAAGCTAGATTGTTTGAAGGGAATTTATTAATATATTTATTTATTTATATCCTGCCCTATCCCACAAGCAGGCTAAGGCAGGTAACTACATAGGTTAACAAACATAAAAGCATGAAACATAAAATCTAAAACAAGTTTAAATGCACACGTAATGGCAACAGGACAAAGAATTCAAGTGGCTCATGCAGTTGGTAATCTTCTAGCAGGGTCAATTTGGACAAGACACAGTGACAAGGACTGAGAGCAGGGGAGGCCGGAATGAAGAGGACATCCGCCGCCTCAAATGAAGGTCTGGCGGAACATCTCCATTTTGCAGGCCCTGCGGAACTGTAATAGATCTCGCAGGGCCCTGATCTCAGGTGGGAGCATGTTCCACCAGACCAGGGCCAGGGCCGAAAAGGCCCTGGCCATGGCTGAAGCTAAACTGAAGTATTTCAGGCCGGGGACTACCAGGAGATGTTGGTCTGCTGAGTGCAAGGTTCTATGGGGCACGTATGGGGAAAGACAGTCCCACAGATATGCTGGTCCCAGGAATTGTGCTAAGCAGGCCACTGGTCAGTTCCTCCTGTCTTAAAGACAGCACGCCATTACAAGCAGCTGGTCAGTAGGAGTTTTACTATTTTGACAGGCTTCCCCCTGAGGTCCAGGAGTCAGGCAACCCCCATTGCTGCCCTTGTTCACAAATGACACTATAATGAAGCAAAGAAGGTAACCCGCCACCAAGACAGTGGCATTCTTGTTCTTATGCAACCTTCAATCACATGCCACCCTTCCCCAAACAACACAAGCTCAATCAAAATTGCACCTGCCTTTCCTCTGGCTGCTCTACCCTTCTAAAAACCACCGCAGATCCCAGTTGTGGACCTTTTCAATCATGTCTAATTTGGCCATCAATGAGGACATTCATTGAATAGCTTTAGGAAAGCTACTGTCTCTTCAGCTAACCTATAGCTTTTGCTATCAAGTCACAGCCAACTTCATGGTGACCAATGCTCCCTGTGGAATCTTGTGAGTAAAAATTCTACTTTGTGAGCTACTGACATTAAAGTTGTGAGCAAGCGATTTGGCTACTGTATAAATTAGTTTGCTCTGAAGCTATCCTTCTTGAGCTAAGACAAAAATGTGTGAGCCGGAGACTAAAAAACTGTGAGCTAGCTCACACTAACTCAGCTTAGAGGGGACACTGATGGTGACCCTCAGGGGTTTTCAAGGCAAGAGACATTCAGAGGTGGTTTGGCACTGCCATCCTCTGAGTAAGAACCCTGGACTTCTTTGGTGGTACTAACTAGGGCTGACCCTGCTTAGCTTCCAAGATCTGATGAAATCCGGTTTGTCCAAGAAACGCAGAGCAGCACAGGACATCCCTGTGAGATAGTTTAGGCCAAAAGAGCTTGACTTGCCAAATGCTGCCCAGTGGTCCACTGAGCATCTGACCCCATAAAGATGAGAATCCCACTCAGTCAGGAATTCACTTTCATAGAATGCTTAACAAGTTCACACTAAATGTTTGATGGTAAACTGCCTTAGCCTTTGTTTAACTGTATTCTCTGCACTCCAAATGATAGATACATGGACAAAATGAACTGGAAGGCAGAGAAGGTAACAAAAAAATCGTGTAGGAACATCTTTTATAAAGAGCGACTTTTTTTAAACTTCAGAGACTGCAGTGGAGACAAATACTATTTGAAATCAGCCACGGCCTAGAGCAGCAGTCCAGTGCCTCTAAAATATTTCGTGTGTGTGCACGCACATGCACACTTGCTTGCATGCCTGGAGGTCATGTTGACTTCTGGCAACCCCCTAGTGGGGCTTGGACATTTCAGAGAGGTGACTTGATTGCCTGTCCTGGTATTCCTTGGAGGTCTCCCTTCCAATTACTTGCCAGGGTTAGCCCTGCTTAGTTTCTGAGATCTGATGAGATCGGGCTTGCCTGGGCTACCCAGCTCAGGGCCCTCCACACATTTTTATGAGTCAAAACATATGCATCCTAATGGAATTTTCTATTTCTCCAGAATCCATCTATTGGTCCAAAAATATTAGTCACATGCTTCTGTAGTCTTTTGTTATACTCTACTGTCAT